TATATATAAGGTTATGATCAAATATGAACCATAAGTATTGTGTGAATGTGTGATCAAATTCTGGTCATTAGATTAAAAGAATGAAATCATGTGATCATAAGGTGCATGTGATTAACGTAGACTAGCAGTTACCATATGATTACACTTAATTAATTATAATGGAAAATGTGACATTTTCTTAAGAGAGAGAAATAGAAATTACCTATATTTTAGGCAACTAAGTCAAATTACTTAATAAATATCTAATCAAAACGTTTTTTCAATACGTTCAAATAAATCATTTTTTTTAAATACGACATTATTCAAGATATATGAACACATATTTTCTTTCTTTCATTCTTAAAGAATACGATTTCATTCAAAGTTTTTTTTAGAATTAACATTCTTAAAGAATACACTTACATATATTAGATAATAACACACCCTTCTTTAAGATAAATGTATTGCAGTATAATCCAAAATATGTATTATAAAAATAAGAATCTTTCTTATAACATTAAACAACCATTTTTATAACATAAAACAACCATTTTTATAACATAAAACAAGAATATGTGTAAAAGATTTTGAAGTATTTAGATAACCTTATATACTACATTCTGTAAGAATCTGTTATCAGACTTTAAAAAAATACAAATTTTTATAATATATACTACATTCTTTAAGTGTCTATCATCATATTTGAAGAATACGTCCTTGCTTTTTGATGGTTTTTCCCATGCCTCTATCTTTATGAATTTACCTCTTCAGATTTGAACCTAAACCATCAAATCATTCAATTTAAACTTTTGTCTGCCTCCTACAAACAATAAAGAGAGAAGTTAGAACATGTAGTACCGAGATTATATATTTTCAATTAAGAAAAAGTTTTAAATAATAGAAAAACCTACTTTTCCCACGACCCATTTCACAAATCCGGAATGAACATTCTTTTAGAATGTTAATTCTAAAAGAATGAGCGTAATTAAACTCAAATCATCACGTGTTCTTTTGCAGAAATGAGTAATACATTCTACTAGAATACACTCTGGTTCTTCAAAAAGACTAAATAGCTAAAACATTCTTTAAGAATACACTATCGTTCTTGAAAGAATCTGCAAGAATATTAAACAAAACCTTTTAAAAGTTAAGAATATACTCCTGAAAAAATGTGTCGGAAGACTTGACATTCTATGAGAATGACTATGCACAACCGTATAACTGATTTCAAGGTTGGTACTCTTATATATACACTCGACTCAAACTTCAGTCTTGTATCAACTACATCTTGGGATGACCCGTGACTGGATGTGCTTAGGGCACATGAGACACTAACCCAAAAAACATCTGACCCAAATCCTTTGACTTGGATGTTTGTTTGGTCAAATGATGCATTTAACCTTTCAAAAGTACCATAATTTTGATAATTCGTGGGCCAGGAATTTGAATTTGAGCCAAATGATGCATCTGGGGAGCTTAAATCTGGTGGAGCAATGATGGAATTGTCACTTGCATTGTTTGAAGTTGAATCTTTATTTTCCTGGTAACAATTTTTTAACATACAGTTATTTTGAAAATTGTATAAAGTAAGTCCTTTGAGGTCTGCTTTTGTCCAGAATTCAATTTTGGATCGACCTGTATGTTCATAAATCAATGCTTTGAGTCCAACTATCCGCACTTCAGCTTCATCTTTTTCCTACAAATCTTAAAAAAAATAAAAAAAACAATACGCATGCATAAGTTAATTATATATAAAACCAAACTCAAACCCACAATAGCTTGGGTGTGTAAATAATTTCATGGAGGCTATTATAGTATATCAAAGTAGAGACCAAAATAATATCGAAGAGAACATTTTCATGGGTGAGAAACATAGATTTTTCCTTCCATCATCCAAAGGCTAACATAAAGATCTGATCCAATGTCATTGAGTGATCGCTCCAATTGTATCAATGTAAATTCTGCCAAGTACTAAGAAAAACACATATTTTGTTTAAATTACTCTTCATATATAAGAAATAATCATGAAGAAGAAACAATATATTTGGTCATA